TTAGTTGTCAAGGGTGTCCTTAAACTAATTTATCCATAATTGGAGATGAATACCTCGTTAGTCTAGTTAAAGGTAAGTTATCTATACTAAAACTCAAAAATTTTTAAAAAATTATTTTTTTATTGATTTTCTCAAAAAATCAAATCTTAAACAACAAAGGTATATATAAGCTTTTGACTTTATTAATCATACAAATATTTGCAAAATGTTTCATTCATAGGTATCAAGTAAAGTTTCCCCTTCAAGGATGGTGGGTATGATTAATTGAAATTGTTTACACTTAAATAATATTGTAAAAATTTGAACCTGCACTTTTAATATAATTCAAATAACTTCTTAATCAATTAAACTAATTCCAATGGATTCAAATAGCATTTTTTTTCCAGAAACATATTATTTAAAAATATAATTTTATTACAAATATTTAATTTTAATTAGTTTTATTTATTTCTAATAATTCATATTTTATATTTTTTTAGATAGCAAAAAGGGAAAAAAAAAAAATTCACAACTACAATAAAGCCCAATACAACACACCACTTCCAGACCAAGTGTTAGTGGTTAAATTATAGTTAAGTGATAAAATCGACCATTGATGGTTAAAACATTGTTACCACCTATTCGATTTCAAAAAAAGTGATATAGGTTGTGTTTAATGTCATCTTTTTGCAGCACCTTTTGGCATAGCACTTTATTAAAAGTGTTAAATTGTTATAGATAAATTAATTCTAATTAATATTTAGTGTAATTTAGTAATTATATTTATGTATCAAACTCTTTTCAAAATAATTATTAAATAATAACATAATTTTTGTGATAATAAAATACTCAAAAACCTATGACCATAACTCTTTACAACAATTTTAAATACAACCATAAACACCATAGGAAGAGAAAGTTGAAGATATGACAAATTGCATAAATTAATTAATATTTATATTTAGTAATAAAAATTAATATCGTATTCAAACTTATCGGTTTTTATATTGTTGGCTGAAAAATTATCTTTCAATCGTGGACATGCAGGTAAGCTACCGATGTAATGCAATTGCAACTTTGCAAGTGTTGGCGCGCCTTGAAGAAGATGGTTAAGTCCCAATTTCACGCTAGAAATCACCAAACTTTTATAAAATATACAGTATTAAATAAGAGGCTAAAAAATTTGACTTAAGAATTGCTGTAAAAGATATGCTTTAATATTAATATATTGAGAAGATTCCTATCTTGATATTCCTAGATTATTAAGGTTAGATTGCAAGAGGCTTTCGTTGGCTAGTCTTGTGTTGTATATATACTAAATGTATGGTTTTTGTCAAATAAAAAATTCTTTTAATAACTTAAAAATATAAATATTAATTAAAATTAATGAAAATATATAAAAAA